GTTAATCAAAAATGTCGGGAAGGCAATTTTGCTTATAAAAAATCTAACCTAACCCCAATATAGAAGACCCTAACCCTAAATTAATCGAAAAATTATTAAATATAAGTTGCCTCCGCTTTAGACGTCCCCTATATTTAGTATTTTTTAAATAAAATAATAATTTATTAATAATATAGAGTATATATTTATGATTATAACTAATTTTTACACTAGGTGATATCACCTAGTATTATAAATTTTTTATTACAAATAAAATAAATTTAAAGTTAGAAATTAGGGTTGGCTTTAGAGTTGGCTTTAAGTTAAATTAAAAGAGTCTAAATATATGTAAAATTTGATATTAAAAACTTTTGCTTAGAAGCCAGAGCATAGTTTTTATAATAAAATCTTAAATTATTTAAGTTTTTAGTTTTTTTTCTTTTTTTCACTTTGTTTTGGTTATACAAGATCCAGCGATCTGATTGGTTTTTATATCACTAGGTGATATTATCTAGAGTGAAAGTTAGCAATAGTCTATATTTATTATAGAATATATTCTTGAAAACATATTTTATAAACTTTATTATAAAAATTTTTTAAAATTATTAGTAAACTTTTGAGTAATAAAACTTTAAAGTTTTAGTTTAAAAATTTTTATTATTAAAAATTTTTCAAGATTTTTTAAAATTTTATATATTTCTAAAACTAAAAAAAAATTTTGCACTTAATACAAGTCCAAATTTTTATAAGTAAGTTATAAAACTTATAATAATGAAAAATATCTTCTTTTATATAAACTAAAATATTGTATTAAGAACTATAGCTTTAAAATTAATATTTAAAGAGTTTATCAAAAATAAATAGATAATTTTTTTGGTTAAAAATTTTTTTTTAAATTGGTATACTTTTATTTTATAAGCAACTAAATTTTTTTCTTATAAAATAAAATTAAATACTGCTATAATATAATCTTTATTTTCAAATATTATTAAAAAAAATTTTATTTAAATATTTTAAAAATTAAAAAATATAGATCATAATTATATTTATGATAATTTTTTAGGCAAATTTGACTGGAGAAGCTTACAGTTTAAGGAATAATATAGATAAATTTGTTTATATTTTTTTTAAAACTCAATTTATTTAATAAAATCATAAAGATTAATTTTAATAATTCACTTTCTAATTAAAATATATTTTAAAAATCTACTTTATTAATTTTATTAAAAAAAATTGTTGAGAACAATCTCTTGGTCAACAACAAAACAAACTAAACTACAAAAAAATGATATAAAAAAGCAACAAAGTAGATATCTAAATATTTCTAGTACTATACAAATATACTTGTTGTTGATAAAACTTTATATATATAAAACACTGAGAAGCAGGTATAAAAACAACAAGTGAGTTGTGCCTTTAGGTTAAGCTTTTAGTAAACTCTTTTGTACTTTCGATATCCAAACCAAAAGAATATTTTGAGAGCAATGTTACTATAGGTTCTTAAACAGGAATACTAAATAGAAACTGAGAAACTAGACTATACAACTGTAATTTTTACAAGAAGAACCTCACATACTCTCATTAGCCTACAACTTTTTTTCTAAGAATTTTTGTAAAAAGTAGACGTTTCAGTTTATTCTCTCCAAAAAATCAATATCATGTACACCAAAATAATCAATATTGTTTACTTTCTAAATCAGTACAACAAGACAATAAACACATTAAGACACATGTTTCAAATACAACAATCCGATAAACAATACTCCAAAACTAGGATTAAGTATTGACCCTCTATATTATATAGTCGAAGAAGTATTTTTTTACTGGTTTTAAGCTTATATATAAGGTAAGTATTCCTATTTTGATGCAGCTAATCTTTCACAATAGCAAGTCTTTATTGAATTGGTGTAAAACACCCGAATTTCTTTTGAATTTGATTTAATTCAGTTTAAAGTAAGCATTTGTATAAAAAAAAATTTTTTTCAAATAAAAAAAAAGTAAATCCTAATTATGGTAATATAGATCCTTTCAAAATCACGATCATCAAGAGATCGCCCTAATTTGACGCACTGAAATAAGGTTGGTAATTTTTTTTTTTTTTTTTTTAAATCGATTTATACTTACTTTTCCGCCCCTATACGCTCCATATTTTCTTTTTTTTTCCTCTGTGCTTCTTGCTTCTGTGCCTTTTCAGCTTCACGTACTATTCGCTTTTGAATGGCCGCTTCTTTTTTACGTTGCTTCTCGTTAACCATTCTTTCAGCCTCCTCCTCTGCTTCTTTTAATTGTTTTAATGATTTTTCGTTGGTCAGAAGCTGAGAAAAGGGCATAGTTTTCCTTTTTTTTCTTTTTGGAGGTTAGGCTCCAGATTGCTCCTTGTTATCTTCCGGATCTTTAGTTGGTAGGTTGGGGCGCAAAGGATATTTAAGTATCTTCCACAAAGGACTTGTACCAGGGTTATTGAGGGGTTCAAGTTCTTCTTCCAATCGTTCAACCCTCTCATTTAGCAACCTAATTTCTGATAATAGCTCTTTTTTAGTAGGGTTTGCTTTGGTGAGGCGTGTATAAGTTGGAGCTAACTCTGAAGTTCGTGAAGACAAGGAAGATTGTGATGAAGACGAGGAAGACTGTGATGATGATAAAGGTGAAGACGAGGAGGACTGTGATGATGATAATGAAGATGAGGAAGCTGATTGCTCAAGGACTTGTGGAATATTGGTACGTAATGAAGGATCTAGACGATCAGGACCAATTGCACTAGGGTTTAATGGCCAAATTCCAGTGGTCTTGAAGGCATTGCATATTGCGGTAGGCGTATAGGCTGCAATATAGGATGGTCCTAATAATTTAGCGAACGTATACTTTGTTACAACTTTACCATTGTTGTTAGTTCGAAACCTCTCACACTCTTTATCATATGCTTTCTTTAATGTAGCAAATGGTAATTCGGCTGGCTGTAGAATGTGAGTGGTATGGGGGG